GGCCGTGGAGCAGTAATGCGTTTCGGTTTGAAGGGCAGAGCAGCTGTTGTACTGTTAACAGTGAGACCTTAGAACTCATGTGTCAAGGTGAGTGACTGCATTCACATTATTACTGCTTCGCGAAATATGCAGGGTGGTGGTAGCTACCAAAATCCCTATCAAATTCGATCTTGCCCGGACATTAAGCTCCACGATGCCTTCCACAAAGTCAAGAATTGGAACGGATGGAGAACAACTGTACATGAGAGGATGATGCAGCGGGAGTGTCTGGACCCTCAGAAATGAGGATGATGAACAATGTTTAATTCCTTCATCATGGAAGTCATTTGTGAATGTGTATGAAGTAATGAAGTACGCACGTTTTTTTTTTATTGCCTATATGTGTGGACGAGCTCACGGCCCACCTGGTCTTAAGTGGTTACTGGAACCCATAGACATCTACAACGAAAATGCGCCACACACATTGAGATATAAGGTCTCAGTATAGTTACAACGGCTGCCCCACCCTTCAAACCGAAACGCATTACTGCTTCACGGCAGAAATAGGCGGGGCGGTGGTACCTACCCGTGCGGACTCACAAGAGGTCCTACCACTAGTAAAAAAACGTCATTAGAAATGCTACTTTGTAAACTGTGCTATGTAAAATCGACATGACCTAACACCTAAGTGATAAAAACCTCGCCATTGTCAATCTACCGTACACTGCTTCACGTATGATCTGTTTTGAATATTCTTTATCACCAAACTGCAAGTTGCTGAAGGCCAACCAACCACTTCAAACCCAATCACGATGTTCGACCAGCCCATATCGTGGGCCCCGAAAGTCAAATATTTAGGCGTCACCCTTGACAGTAGGATGACATTCCGCCCTCGCATCAAGACGGTACGCGACCGTGCCGCCTTCATTCTAGGACGTCTCTACCCGTTGATATGCAGGCGAAGTAAAATGTCCCTTAGAAATAAGGTGACACTCTACAAAACTTGCATACGCCCCGTCATGACATATGCAAGTGTAGTGTTCGCTCACGCGGCCCGCACTCACCTAAAATCATTTCAAATTATCCAATCCCGTTTTTGCAGGATAGCCGTCGGAGCCCCGTGGTTCGTCAGGAACGTCGACCTCCATGACGACCTGGACTTAGAGTCCATCAGTAAGTATAAAACCACTTCAAAACGCCAATAAAAAATCACATCTTACAACAGAGTATGAATCTAATCAATTGGACCACAATAGGCTTAGTACGCAAATCGTGGCAGGGACATGGTTCTCTAAAGCTTGGCCTTCCATTATACGCTCAGTTTTAAAAACCCATACATACAATTCAAAGATACACACACTCTTTAGTGAACGAAACTCTGAATTACACGTCCTTACGGATCCATCAGATCCAATAACCTTTGCATTAGACGCCTTCAGCTCTAACACTAGGAGCAGGCTTAGGGACCCCGGTAACCGTACTCGTCGAACTCGACAAAGAGTTCGACGTGCAACCTAACCCATGAATTAGCTCGCTAAGTTTCTCGCCGGATCTTCGCGTCGCGTTTCCGATCCGGTGGTAGATTCTGCGAAGCGCTGCTCTTGCTAGGGTTCGTGTTAGCAACGGCGTCGGGTTTGAGCCCCGTGAGCTCACCTACTAGTTAAGGTTACGCTGGAATAGCTTCTCAAGGCTACCAGCATAGGTAGGAAAAAAAAATGCGTTTGCCGCTAGGGGCGCTGTTCCAACTGCATACAAAGCTGGGTTAACTTTTACGCTATCGAGAACGTGAAAAAACTCGCACTAAGCACATCGTTACGTACTAATGTTTCGATTGTGCTTTGAGGCGTGATGGCCACTCCGAAGGCTGCCCACGAATTATGTCATCAAAGCATATAGAATTGTTTCGTATTAAAACGTAGACAAATTATTTCTCGACTCGCAATTTGTCTTACCAGCTCCTAAGTTAAGTAGTAGGGATATTCTGTAATAAGGTACAACTACACTAGTTTAAAAAATGAATATTTTTAACGCGCTTTCATTGGCTAGGCTTTCATTGGTAGGCAGCGGCTTGGCTCTGCCCCAGGCATTGCTGAAGTCTATGGGCGACGGTAACCACTCACCATCAGGTGGGCCGTATGCTCGTCTGCCTACAAGGGCAATAAAAAAAAGGTACATATCGTCTTTTCGCATTAAAAGTGTACAATTTCCAAAAATATTCGAAACTGAGTTAATATGCGGAATCATTTGGTATCACCAATATTTTTCTCATAAATACTGTCAAAAGAGCGTAGTTTTTGTTTTTTTTTTTAGTTTTCCTATATTTTGACTACTATTATCAAAATGATTACATCATTTTATCTTACTTTAGAATAGAACGACCCGTCAATGTAAAAGGAAAAACTATACAATATGTCCACAGCTACATCTATCTAGGCAAACAAATATCTATATATTAATACGTGAAGCAAAAACTTTGTATCCCTTTTTACGAAAATTGCGCGGACGGAGGAGTATGAAATTTTCCACACTTATAGAGAATATAGAGAAGAAGTGCACAATGCTAATTTTTTTTTTTAAATAATGCATAAAAGATGCACTAAATCAATAAAGAAAACATTACACACACTACATACCATGTCTTTGATGCACACACGCATGCATACTATTTATTGACAAACTTTTATTCTTGGCGTCTGTTGTCAAATTGAAAATAGATTAAATATTGTTTGTCTTTGTTAATATTTTTTATAGTGTAGTCTTGGCGAAATTTGTGATTATAGAAGTATAAAATACAATCATAATAGTGTACAAACTTACAATTCCAATTAATTATAGTCGAATTTCGACTACTGCGGGACCTCTAGTCATTTTTAAAAACGCACAATGAAGACTAAATTGAAAGAAGAACAAACATACCTGTATACAAATATATTAAGTGTATAATCTATGTGTATACTGCCTTGTCTACTGTATGGCTGCCAAACTTGGGTATACACGACAAGAGCAAAACAAAGAATCACAGCAACACAAAGAGCTATGAAGAGAAGTACCCTAAACATAAGAAAAATTCAAAAAGTCAGGAGCAAAGTAATTAGACAAAAAACAAAGATAACAGATGCCCTCACACAAGCTCTAAAATTGAAATGGCAGTGGGCAGGTCACGTATTGAGATACACAGACACCGGGTGGACAGTCAACACTACAATCTGGAAAGGGCCAATTGACAAAAGAAGGGTAGGGAGACCGAAAAAAACGATGGGATGACGACATAACCGAAATAATAGGAAAGGACTGGCAAACTATCGGCAAGGACAGAGATCAGTGAAAAGGACTGGGGGAGGCCTTCACCCGAGGAGGAGTCTATATCCAATAACAAAAAGTAACTAAACATTAACAAATAAATACCACATTGGAAATGAAAGTTAAGGATATGGAAATACAGGCTTTTTTATTTTATTTTATTTATTTATTTATCTTACTTTAAAAGAGAGATAATGTATCTGGTAAAAAATAAAAAATAAATGTTGCAAAGAAGATTAATATTAAAAATATCACATGTTAAACCTTTAAAACACTCTCCTGTAAAATTAGTAAGTTTTGAGATTATACAGTTGTAATGCGAGAAAACGATATGTATGTAACGAAATTTTTGAATGTCATTTTCAATATTTTTTTATCTTACCTAAGCTGGTAGCCTTAGAGGCTATGTCAGCGTCACCGAGTGAGTAAGTGGGCTCTCGGGGCTCTAGCTTGTGCTAGGACGTGATAACATTAGCCCTAGCAAGGACAGTAATTCGCAAAATCTACCACCGGATCAGAAACGCGACCCACTGAGAAGATCCGGCGAGAAGCTCTTTGGAGATTACTCTCTTTAAAAAGCACGTCATTTCGGATCCTCCCGATCCACTAACGGTGCTTTTAGGTACCTCAACCACCGGTCATCGTTCTCGTCGAACCCGGCGACGAAGGGCTCGACGAGTAAATTAAGCCTCAGACACAGCCCACTGAGTTTCTCGCCGGATCTTCTCAGTGGGTCGCGTTTCCGATCCGTTGGTAGATTCTGCGAAGCACGGCTCTTGCTAGGATTCGTGTTGGCAACGTCGTCAGGTTTGAGCGCCGTGAGCTCACCTACTAGTTAAGGTTACGCTGATATAGCCTCCCAAAGCTCTCAGCTAGATAGGAAAAAATTTTTTTTTAAATAATTTGGATAATAAGTATCATGATTACGGATGGTTTGTATCGCCCATAATGGCTCACAGCAATCCTGTATGATCCTCTACCAATAGCAAAGCTTTTCTATCTCAGATCGCATCAAAGTTAGACCGAACAAAACCGAATATAAAACACGTAACCAAAGCGAGTGGCCGTCAGACGTAGCAATGTGAATGTCGAATACCAAACAAATCAGTACAATGATTTAAAACAATAGACCGAGTCCGGTTCAGCTGCTCTGTGTCCGGTTATTAAAGGTCATGTTGATTTCACGGGAAAATGTTCGGCAGTTTTCCGACAGCGTATCCGCAAGCAGAGACATACCATCGGACTTCCTGTACATGAGCATTTCGTTATTCACAATCATTAAAAACACTATTTTTTGCCCTTGTAGGCAGACGAGCATACGGCCCACCTGATGGTGAGTGGTTACCGTCGCCCATGGACTTCAGCAATGCTAGGGACAGAGCCAAGCCGCTGCCTATCGCTTAATACTCTCCACAAGCCTCGTTTAAAGAAGGACATGTCATAGCGTTAGGGAAACACCGTGGAGGGGAGCACATTCCAAAGCCGGATGGTACGTGGCAAAAAAGACATCTGGAAACGCACTGCTGATGAACGCAGCGGTTTCAGATAATATGGATGAACTCTGCTTCGATGGCGAGAGGTGCGATGATAAAAAGAAGATGAGGCGATCATCTCAAACAATTCCTCAGAGCACTTTCGAAGCTTAATCTAGCGTTTTATTTTTATCGACTTATCGAATACTTTAAAGTTTACGTTACGACAGGCAATATGCAGGGCAAACTTCAGAGGACGCAGTCCCAAGAAACGGTCGGATCAAATTTCTCACAACAAGAGTATGCTGTTGATCACTCGACGCCGTTTGTTCCTATCTGCTGACAAGTGTGGAGTAGTACGGATCTGATGAGTCCAACGTGTCAGATTTCTACCTCAAGCGCTTTTTCCATTTATTTTATCAGTGGCCATTAACTTTTCCAAATTGAAGTAAAAATCAAACGCATCTATGCAATAGACAAAAAATAACGCTAACGACATTTTCAAGATTTTGCGTAGACAAGTTCCAAGAACAAAAACGTCCTTCGACCTCCCAAGCAATGAGACCCATTCCTTCGAGGATCTAATCTTTGTTCTTCAAGTGATCCGATTAACGGATACAAAAAACATGCGTCGTCCAGTAATCAGAGTTTTCTGCTTCATTTAGGCCACACTGGCCTAAATGGACACACCCCTTTTGCACACACCCTGTATAAACATTGCCGATGTTGAAATAGGAATACGGAAAACTGTATTCATATGCTACTGCTGATCCAAGTTTATTCTGAGGAAAATAGGCTTTCATCTCATGTCACACGCTCCATCCTATATACATAACGCTCAAAAGAAAAAGGGCCCGTACAGTACCTGGCAATAAATATGACATATCGACCTTTGGTATGAGAGCATCGGCTAACTTCGGCTTCGCAGACATTGTTCAAGAGCGGTGGGTGCGGTTTTAATAGATACATGCGTGCGACTCATAAAACCAGTACGACTGTACTCTCTCTCCCTCAAAAACTCGAAAAGTCTCTTCTTCCAAAAGCCGATGTGCAATATTTATCGCCGAGTGTTATAAAAAAATATGTGCTACAAAACTCACCTTTGGTGGAATCTTCTTTACCCGGTTCCCTGTATCCGGCTCCGTAATCCCCGACAGCTACCGGTCGCGAAGTCACCACCTCACCCCCCGGCCCAGCTGTATAGCCAGGAGCATGGGGCCGATCCATTTCATTCTCGTAAACCGGTTTCACGTTATATCCAGGGTTCTCCGACTCTGTATTTGGTTTATAATAAGCTGGTGAATCGTTGGGTTTTTTGTTATTAGGTCTTTGGGGCCGTCCTTTGTGGCTGGTCTCTGCGTTTTGGTTTGAGCCATAGCTCGGTGTCGTGTAGCTGTCGTCAATCTGGCTGGTTCCATAAACATTCTGACTATTGCTATAGTCCTGATTTGTTCCATAAGACCCTTTGTTTCCATACGAGCTTTGATTTGAATAGCTGCCTTTAGTACCTTGGTCAAATTGGGTACCGACGGAGCTTTGGCCTCCATAACCACTTTGACTAGGGGGATATGCATCATATGAACCTTTGTTTCCATTTGATAAATGATAATCATGACTTATACCTTGGGAAGCTCCGTGGTATGAGCTTTGCGAACCCCCATACGATCCTTTGCTACCTTTATACCTATCATCCTGATATGTATTTTGGGTGTTCCCATAAGAGTTTTGATTGGAATTATAAAAATCTTGCTGACCATGAGAGCTTTGAGTAGAACCATATGAGCCATGGTTGGTTTCGCCATAGTGATTGCCCTGATCATGATTTTGACCATTCGTTTGCCCGTAAGACCCATAGTCGTTATAAGAAGGTTTGTAGTTTGGTCTATTGCTATAGCTTTGATCTGGCCTACCATACACTTGGCTTTCGTAGACATGTTGGTTGCTGTGATAATTGCTTTGACTAGAACTGTATGAATGTTGGCTTTGATACGAATTCTGTCCATAATCAGCTGGGCCATAATCGTTTGGTCTGTCCGGTTTCAAAGGTTTGTTTGGACGATTTTGCCCGGTATCTCCGTAACCGTTATGATAATTTTGAGTGTTATATGACGGCTGATCGCTCTGGCTTTGATGATAATCGTTCGGTCTATTCGGTTTCGATGGTTTGTATGGCTCATTTTGCCCGGGGTCCCCGTAACCAATATGATGATTTTGGCTATTATATGACAACTGATCACTCTGGCTTTGATAATCGTTCGGCCTATCCGGTTTCGATGGTTTGTATGGCTGATTTTGCCCGGGGTCCCCGTAACCAATATGATCATTATGGCTATTATATGACGACTGATCACTCTGGCTTTGATGATAATCGTTCGGCCTATCCGGTTTCGATGGTTTGTATGGCTCATTTTGCCCGGGGTCCCCGTAACCAATATGATGATTATGGCTATTATATGACGACTGATCACTCTGGCTTTGATAATACTCGTTTTGACTGCCGTATTGATTACCTTTAATGGATTGGTTTGAACCATAACCGGTTTGTCCTGTAAATGAGTTTTGATTTGTGTACCCTTTGACAGGTTTATCGTAATCCTGGTTCCAGGTTGGGTCGTTTGGTTTGGAATTTTGAGGTCGATAACCATTATATCCGTATTGGCCGTAAGGTTTAGTAGTCGGATCGGGTCTATTATCATCAAGCGGCGGGTTTTGGCTGTAGCCACCGATTTCCGTAATAGTTCCATGATTTTGAGCGTAGCTATTTTGGGTTAAATAGCCGTATCCTTGATGACCATAATAGGAACCACGGATGGGTCTGTATGGTCGTGGTGGATCATATATTTCAACGTGAATTGAGTTGTCATTTTGACTACTATGATCGAAATTGCTTGCATATTGTCCGGCGTTGTCCGGTCTAGGACGATTCGGTCTGTCGAACCTATACGGTCTACTTGGAGGTCCGATTGGTCCTGAAGGATGTCCAATATCACTTGGCCTATCTGGCCTTCCGTAACCTTCGTCTTGAGAGTTCTGATAAGGCTTCCTGTTCGGTCTAATTATGTAATTATAATCCGGTTTTTCTGGTCTATTAGGTTGTCCATACCCTTGAAAGTTTAGTTCATCCGATGGTTTTTGGTTATATGACTGATTTTTAATTGGTCTTTCGGGTCTGTACTGCGTATCTTGAGGTCTACTGAAACCGTGATCAGGCCTAATAGGTTCATATGGTATTTCTTGCGGTCTGTGTGACCCGTAACTCGGAGGAACATCGTTATCCGGTTTCGAATTGGAATAATCATCAGGCCTGTACGGTTTACCAGATTCGAAAGGCCTCAAGTCAGCGGAGATGAGGTAATCATCGTTGAAAATTTCGTCGTCCGGTCTGAAGACTGGGCGTTGAAGGGGACCTTCGGGCCGGTCTGGGTTATCTGGGCGCTTCTGTTCGTCAGGACCTGGGTCGTCGTGCAGCGGCATCGGTGAAGGCGGCGACTGCTCGCATTGGAACCTCCGCACGTACACGTCGTAGTCGGGGTGGCGGCCCAGTATCGATTTTTCTTTGATCTCTTTCTCGTCTATATTACTCAGGTTGCATGTGGCGTTGCCTTTAGCTCCAACACTGCGAAAGATAAATTAAAAAATTTGACAACCAGCGAACGTCTTGTGAATTCTGAGTGGGTTTTCATTTAATTCTGTTAACTTATGGGAAATCTAAAGAATTCTTATGTTTAAAAGCTTACGAAATTAATTTTCAATTGCTTATGTAAATTACTCGATAATCTGCATTAAAAAATTCGAAAAACTGAAGAAATCACTGATGCCCGACTTTAAAGTTTAATTTTTAACAGCGCCATCTATATGTAGTCAATTCATTAAATTTTAGATTTTAATAATGCGAAAAGGGAATAAGAGAGGGCGCTTTAATAACATTTTAACGTCTGTATTTCAGAACTTATTAGCGACCAACAACTCAACAAATCAAAATCATTTCGCGACACGCGACACAATAATTATATTAGTTACAAACAACTTGAGGTCTACAATATATAGGCATAGTCGATGATGTAATATATTTTCTTTTTGGAATAGAAAACACGATGTTATTATATTAGGAACGATTGTGTACTACTCTATTAAATAGCATACTATTGGGCACTATTGGCTATGCTTAACTATCAATCAGACAACCGATTTAATTCAATCAATGTCACATTAACAACTTAAATATATTACAAGTCAGTTGGGAATTTCAAAATCAATTTTAGTGCTAGATACTTAGAAGTATAACTAGAACATTTCCCCTATACCCACACGTCTAAAATTACTAGAGCTAGCTAGCTCTGTGATTGTTTATCAATAATAAATCCTAACAAGTCAATTTCTAATCTGTTTTTAATGTTTAAAGGGTTATATTTTCTTGAAATTAAGTCTGTTAACTTCTTACTAAGGATAGATGTTTAGATAAATCAAAATACTAATTCTCATTATTAAATAATTTACCCATAATCGTAGGCTTGGCATTGTTTATCCTGTTTGCAAATTTGTTCGCATTCTCGCGTCATTAGTTCGGTGACGTTTCGATAGATGGCGGTACTTGGCAATTGTTCACCTATCGACAGCCTGATGAAGCAATCTGGAAGGAAAAAAAAAACTAAAACTAAAAACCGAATGAATAAATTACGTAGAGTAATAAAAGCTGTTTTTGTTCGTCTTTCGTACAGTTTAAAGTAATCAGTAGTGCAAGTAATAAAATGTTACGTTGTCAAAATCTATAACTTAAAGCCATGATTACTTAGGCTTACTGGTGGTAAGAACTCTTGTGAGTCCGCACGGGAAGGTACCACCGCCCTGCCTATTTCTGTCCTGAAGCAGTAATGCGTTTCGGTTTGAAGGGTGGGGCAGCCGTTGTAACTATACTGAGTCCTTAGAACTTATATCTCAAGGTGGGTGACGGCATTTACGTTGTAGACGTCTATGGGCTCCGGTAACCACTTAACACCAGGTGGACTGTGAGCTCGTGCACTCATCTATGCAATAAAAAAAAGCGCACGAATCCTCTGAACCATAAATAATTAATGCTAATTAATCACTATATTACGTCATTGGTCATTTTCTATTCGCAAGATCCGCTATCTAATGTAGTCATTATTAATATAATTTTCGAAATTATCTGTTTACACAATTTCCTATGTTGAAACTATGATTTTTTTGTATGCGAGTGCGTACTATAATAATAAGATATAAGATATAATATATAAGATATAATAATATGATATAAGATGGGTATAAGGAGCGTGGGGCGTCCTCCAACCAGGTGGACTGACGACTTAGTGCACACGGCGGGAAGTCGTTGGATGCGGAAGGCGGAGGACCGCATTATGTGGAAGGCATTGGGGAAGGCCTATGTCCAGCAGTGGGCAGATAAAGGCTGATGATGATGATGATGATGATGATGATGATGATGAGTGCGTACTGGTCGAAGCAGTCGTACTTACCATGTGCTTAGTGCGAATTCTTTAACGTTCTCGATAACGTAAAAGTTAAATCAAAATTGTATGGAGTTGGAACGTTTGCCTACGTTTGCCGCTAGGGGCGCTGTTCCAACTCCATACAAATTTGAGTTAACTTTTACGCTATCGAGAACGTTAAAAAACTCGCACAAAGCACACAGTTTGAGGGATGGGGCAATCAAAATTCGATAGAAGTTGTCGTAGCCTAAAGGATTTATTTATTTATTTATTTATTAAGACACACCAACAGCAATACACACAAAACATTCAAGCTTAAAATTAACATGTATAAAATTAAGTACTGGTATGTAAGCCAGTTACAGGCATGTACAGCAATCTCCTATAACACACTATGACATGTTACAGCAATATATATATTTGAAAACAACATGAAAACAAAAGCTAACTACACACACTACTAACTTTACAGATTACTAAATAAGAAATAATGCACATATTTATATAGTAAAAAATTATAAATAAAAATTATAAAACTATAAAAAAATTAAAAAAGTCGAGCGCGGCAATGCAAAAAATATAAACACATAGAACAGACTGCGCAATGTAATCAGAATGACATTCTCTCATCAATTATAAGCAAAGGAACTTGGATACTAGTTTGTTTTTGAGACCAGGACACGTGTCGTTAAAAATGTCAATGCCGTCAATTAATGCACATATTTGGTTAAATTCACTGCAAATCTTTGATAAAGGGGAATATCTAAGGAGGTTTGTTCTACTTGCGGGAATATNAACCTACCTCCCTAACACCTAAGAATCCTTGCAACGAAAAAGATCGGACGATACCCCTGGGAGTGGGACTGTTCCCAGAGGATCCCGTTATCCGCCACCTACGGACGCGCCCGGTGGAAGTCCAGCAAAACTCCCCCACAGACGGAGCCCCCGGCCACGCAGAGTGCGCGCCGGGGGGCCCGCCCAGGTCCCTCGGGGAAACCACTATCCTAATTACTCTGCTAGATAATACAGTAGCAAGGTTGTTGTTGAACCTCAGCCTCAGCCTTGGTCTGAGTGCTCGGGTATTACTGTCCTTGTTGTCTTTCTTTTGTTTTTAATTTTTTATTATTATTAATAGTATTGTTAAATCTCTATTGATATATTAATGTAATGCATGCTGTGATTGCCTCTAATTAGAGTTGCAGTTATCAATTGCTCTATACATGTCAATATTATTTTATGTCTTACTGTAAACCCTGTCGGTAATCCTTAAATAAATAAATAAATAAAGTTAAACTTTTTCGATGATTCACCAAAACCTACTCGATGACTTCATACATACATAAAAACGTATTTAATTACTACTAACAAATATATTTATAGGAACTTGTATTATAGAGATCACGATTTTTAGCAACACTGTACAATTAGTTACGTCGCTAATTATGAAGCTGGTATTTTTTTTTGTTGCTTAGATGGGTGGACGAGCTCACAGCCCACCTGGTGTTAAGTGGTTACTGGACATAGACATCTACGACGTAAATGCGCCACCCAGGTTGAGATATAAGTTCTAAGGTCTCAGTATAGTTACAACGGCTGCCCCACCCTTCAAACCGAAACGCATTACTGCTTCACGGCAATCAAAGGCCCTATTTTGTTATTAAAATAAACATTACGTATTCTTTGATTCTTCGGTTAGATAAAAAAGTTAGTATAAGTTCCAACCCTACATGCAATACTCAAAATAAAGCAACGCCATCTATCGGTGGCGGGATTATGTCGTCACTCACCTTCAATGGATGTTCCCAATTGTGAATCAATAGTCAGCGTTTGAACACCAGCCAACAGAACCGGACACAGAATTATTAAAATTGACATTTTAATCAAGAATGAATTTAAATTGATAATTGTCATTATATTCCCGCCATTTATCACAATGGTACACCAGCGGTGCGTAAACAAAACGCGGAAACGAAAAGAATTCGAAATTCGAATAGTTTTCTATTGAAATTCAAATTTTAAATTCGCACAGATTAAGATACATCTATTTTTTTTTTTCTATTTCAAGACGTGCACACTGTTTTGTATTAGCAAATAAAATGTGGCTCGGATCTTTAGGTGTGGCTAACAACTTCACGGTCCGGCGAGTCCTGTGTAAACCTCCTTAGCGTCTCATGTGAACCTTAAAGCTTTTTTACCGCCGGTTTTTTTTTTTTACTTACTCGAAGATTACAGAGTAAGCCTTTGCCTTGACGTTTGACGTTCGTAATGGCGGGTAATCAGTTGCCTTGAAATATGAAATGTCGAAATCAGTTTTAACTTCCACAATGCACACATTCTTTCTGATAATTCAATTATTATTGACTTAGGTCAGATGGCTTCTCGACCCCAGTATTAGTGTATTTAAAACAAAACAAAAGTATTTAAATGGGTTCTCTCCGCGATTTTCACACGGAATAACAAACCTGATATTTATAGACTAAAGATTGCGGCTGGGATGCAGGGAGATCTAAAATCGGGACACTAGTGGTTCTTATAATATAAAATGTCACTGGTGGTAGAACATCTTGTGAGTCCGCACGGGTAGGTACCACCGCCCTGCCTATTTCTGCCGTCAGTAATGCGTTCTGTTTCAAGGGTGGGGCAGCCGTTGTAACTATACTTGAGACCTTAGAACTTATATCTCAAGGTGGGCTGCGCATTTACGTTGTAGATTTCTATGGGCTTCAGTAACCACTTAACTTAAAATATCTAAGTAAAAAAAAATAAAAAAAATAACTAGAATAACTGCTTCATCATATCGGTTTACGTTATCATCAAAGATTGCGAATCCCGATTAGGGTTCATCATCTTTCCTTTCAATCCTAACGGTCACTTACACAATAAGTCTTTGTGTGTGAATACAGCGGGGGGATCCGTTCCCACAATAAATCTGTAAAACCTAGTTTAAAAACTTTGAAATTCAGCGGGTCAACGTACTGTTTTATATTGCGCATAACGTTCGCTATGTAAGGATGTGCCCTTTGTTTGAAAGAGTTTTTTTTTTGTCGTTGCCTAAATGTGAGCTACGGTCCAAATCGTCATTAAGTAGTTACCCAAATCCATAGGAATCATGCCTGCGGGTACAACCACAAGGGAAAAAAACGGATGGCGGCTCTTCTCTTCGGCAACGAGCGTCGGTAACGAGGTAGAAGAAGAGGGCCGGGATCTGGACGGACACACCAGTAAAAGCAAGCTGCCTCAAATGTACGCCATCTACATGTTAATCATTTCTTCGATTCATCTTACATCGATCATCCAACCAACACCGATTCATCGCTAATCCGTTAAGCAAAAACACCATCGCCGCCGAGAGGGCGGGCAGCTTAAGTCCGGGCATATGGGTCTCCCCGAGGCCCTTGCCGTACCCCCGTCAGGAGACATTAGAACACTTGAAGCATTGTGATCACAATGTGAATACTGCCGATCACCTTGATACATGAGACCGAAGTATGAATGACATATTCTAATGGACGTTGGCATGATGCAACACAAATTATTACACGGTGCTTGTTATAGGCTCACAGTGGAACCTACCACTAGACTTTAAAAATCACAATAACATTGCCAACTTTCTTAATAGGCATAAAAAAACAAAAATATGATCCAACTGATGTTATTTAGCAATAGTTATAGTTCGACAATGGTGACATTAAAATCAATCGTCAACTTTGTAACAAAAGATACGTTTGAAATGCCTAAGCTTTATTAAATCCCAATAAAACTCTAATACAAGGCGGAGTTTAACATAAATCATCGCATATTTATGTTACGTTTAACATTAGTACTTCCATCAGTCTCCGTATTCGAAAACTATACGGGACATATGATTCTCGATTTGATTACGGAAGGTTATATCGTAATAGCTCATAGTTATATCTTGAATTTATTTTGATAAGCATAAATACAGGGAAAAAAGACGGTAATAACAGCAGCTAATGGTGGCTGGAAAGTTTGAAAGGAGAAGACCAATCACAGCCTAAACAATGGTCCAGTTTCTTTCGACTTCCACCGCCAAGATACATGATACATCACGCCAAGGCAAGATACATATGGAACTTAATCAAAAAGAAATTAATCTCTCTTGGGATTTTCGCGACTCTCAGCGATAAGGGAAACGATGTGTTTTCATCTCATTTTAAACCAATAGAAGTTTTATTATTTAAGGTTAAATTGATTCGAAGTAGTTTGACCACCGACTTCAAAAACACAGTGCAAAGGCTCCAGGTATATTGGGCAGGCTTCACACTAAAATATTATCCATGTTAAGACAACGTAATCGGAGAACAAAGAGTATCGTAACGCATGTAATTACACTGTTATCTTTCTATCTGCCGACGTTCGCAAAAATCATTATAAATTTAATAATTGCTAGTTGTTGACTAGGGAAGAGATAACGTTTTGCGAATTAAATCGATATTCCAAATCGATTTGCGTTTCAAAGACAAATTTAGGCCGATTCTAGGATTGTTTGGGACACCCAAAAAAGTGGCAGTTGTGGATTGGGTTATTCGTGACTTATGCAAGTCGATCGAGTAACTCGACACATCATGTCAAATAGAAACACGGACTGCGATTAGTCTACGCAGATGCAACATATACTTTTTTTCTCTACCTAAGCTGATGGTCTAGACTAGGTATACCATATAAGCGTCACTGAGCTAGTAGGTGAGCTCTCGGGGCTCAAACCTGACGATGTTGCTAAGACGAATCTTATCAAGAGCCGTGCTTCGCAGAATCTACTGCCGATCGGAAACGCGACCCACTGAGAAGATCCGGCAAGTAACTAAATATGCTGTGTCTATGGGTTAATTTACTCGCCGAGCCACGGGTTCGACGAGAACGACGACCAGTGCTTGGGGTACCTAAAAGCACCGTTAGTGGATCGGGAGGATCCGTGATGACGTGTTTTGGGCGACACATGGAACCTCTGGGTCTGCGGAAGGACTTCGGTTCCCTCTGTATTTTGTACCGTATGTTCCATGGGGAGTGCTCTGAGGAATGAGGTTTGATGGGTGGGGCAGCCGTTGTAACTATACTGAGACCTTAGAACTTATATCTCAAGGTGTGTGGCGCATTTACGTTGTACATGTCTATGGGTTCCAGTAACCACTTAACACCAGGTGGGTTGTGAGCTCGTCCACACATCTAGGCAATAAAAAAAATATGGTCGAAATGATACCGGCATCTCGTTTTTACCATCGCACCGGCCGCCACCGGAGTAGAGTTCATCCGTACTACCTGGAGCCACTGCGGTCATCCACAGTGCGTTTCCAGAGGTCTTTTTTGCCACGTACCATCCGGCTATGGAATGAGCTCCCCTCCACGGTGTTTCCCGAGCGCTATGACATGTCCTTCTTCAAACGAGGCTTGTGGAGAGTACTAAGCGGTAGGCAGCGGCTTGGCTCTGCCCCTGGCATTGCTGAAGTCCATGGGCAACGGTAACCACTCATCATCAGGTGGGCCGTATGCTCGTCTGCCTACAAGGGCAATAAAAAAAATAAAAAAAAACATACAGTATCCGCAATATTACTAGAATTATAAAAAAACCGGTCCATTTTAGAAGTAGCTGTACCATCTCGATTTCAAATTCTTGACAGAGACATCTTGTGCCCGAACTAAAAGTTCTCTTTATCGTATTCGAGGACTATTTAACCCTTAGTTAGTGCTGAGCTTATTTTCACATATTTCGCGGAAATTGATAAACGATTTTTGAAAAAAGTAGGTGGTACCTTATAAACAACTTGAATTTGAAAAAAATCTCACTCAGTTTTCGTAAAACGCGTATACAGGTTGTCTCAGAAAGAAATGATAATCCTGAAACACCTCATAGTAGAGCTATTGGGGACTCAAAATAAGATATAAAAAAAAATCTCAGGTAGTACCCAAATTAAATATAAAGAAAAAACAACAAAATTACATGATCAAAATTTAAGTTCAGATTAGCTTTTATAAAAAATTACACTAGCTTTTCATACGTTCATACAATTTCCTGCATATTCCTTAATATAGTCCATGTAGAATATTATAACAACAAAAAGCCTATGGATTTATTTGTAGCTGTTGTATATTCCAGAAACGCACAGCAGTATGGAAAATATAAACCTTATTTTTTAAATACATAACCAAATTACGTGAGACGTACTATCTGAGATTTTTTTTTTGTGTTTCCCCATATCTCTTCTATGAGGTGTTTCAGGATTGCTCATTCTTTCTGGGACACTCTGTATACCATATATTTGGAACAAGAAAAATCATACGAACAATTGAATAATTGTGGCGCATTTACGTCGTAGATATCTCTGGGCTCCAGTAGCCACTTAACACCAGGTGGGCTGTGAGCTCATTCACCCATCTAAGCAATAAAAAAACAGAATTCGAGGTCTCTCAAGAACACGTTTACCCCAACGGTTATGGGTTGTCCCGATAGTAAGGTCAGCCCATTGCCAGTTCAGCTTTACTAATTACAGGTAATTCTTAAATGTTTTGAGGGATCGTGTTACACAAAGCTCCAAGCTTATCTTTCGTACATAACAAGCCGTCGCCTCTGTAATACTAAGTTTGGATCGGTTCGAAATCGATATCTGATCGATTTTCCATCGAAACATCGATTTCACTGTCTCGCGGCTTTTATTTATGTATAACGAACTGGTGGTGTTAAAGATCCGAGATTGCAGCAGCATGTCTAAAATCTTGTTAGCGACGTCAAATGGATGCTACTATGGGTCTACATTAAATTGATTTAAACGCGAATCGCATTCGAGTTAGTGGGTAGGTTTATAAATAAAGAGTGTCAGAGTGGGACGGTTGGTCGAAAAGTGACCCTCAAAAATAGATTA